TTGCTGAAAAATAATTTGGTTCATCTGAATTTTAGTTCTAAAAGCGGTATTCTGATTTTACCATTAAGTAGAGTATATAAGCCGTGATCATTCAATCCCTTAAAAAGTAAATACGTTACAAACATAAACTCAGAGAACAATCACACTGCGAAACGATTTTTTTTTTACCTGAGATTTTTCAACAAATCTTAGATACTTTCGTTTCGCTGATTTAAAGCCTGCAATCGGTCGGTATTCGGTATATAACTAAAAATTTATTTTTAAAAAAATCTGTAGCTTTCGGAGCACAACTAGTTTCAGATTTGATATCCTCATACCCGAATTAGACAAGATCAGGTATTTGTATAAATACATCAAAAAATGTGTTCTCCATTCTTTTAAATAACTAAATGCAATTAAAATTTAAAAAACAATCAATCAATTTAAGTTTTTAAATCTCAACAAACGAAATAAATACTCGCTTGAGTGAAGAAGAAAGTTAACTTAAGAGATTATTTTTAAGAGTTGATTGTTTAGCGCCTAATCTCCTTTTTCTTCCATTAGAAAACTATTCTCCTGAGACAACTAGAGAAAAAGATTGTTTTCCGATAAATAATCACTGCCTTAATAGTGTCAACGGAAAAATAACTAACGCGTTAATGGTGTGAGAAAAACATTAAGGCGATAATGTCTGAACTTAAGATAAAAGTTTGAAGGAAATTACTATGTTTACATTTTACAGAGATAATTTTTTGATTATGTTTAGAATAAATATATTTAGTGTAACATTCCGTCAGTATATTAATTTAGATTTTATATACATTATTAAGCATTCGTATGGGCATTTTTCATTTATTTATCTTCTCCTAATTGAAGAGTTTAGCGGTGGAAGGTTCTAAGAAACATTTTCGGAATAATATCCTATTTTAGTGCCATTTAATTTTATAACATGATTTGTTCTGCCAGGTCATTTAGTAGAAATTTCAGTGATTGGAGGTACTAAGTGACAGACTTTGAGAGTTTATTGAGTTGGGAAGATCACAGTGGATGGAAGTACTTAGTGACCATCTTTGAGTGTTCTTTAAGTTGTGGAGATCACAGGGGATAAAGGTACTAAGCCATTTAGTAGAAATTTCAGTGATTGGAGGTACTAAGAGACAGACTTTGAGAATTTATTGAGTTGGGAAGATCATAGTGGATGGAAGTACTTAGTGACCATCTTTGAGTGTTCTTTAAGTTGTGGAGATCACAATGGATAAAGGTACTGTACTGAGTGACAGTCTTTGAGTATTCATTGAACTGTGGTGATCTCAGAGGATGAATGTACTAAGTGGCACTATTTTAGTGTTTATCAGAAGAAGGCTTTAAGTGCATTTGGCAACAAACAGTTGTCTTCAACCTTTGAAAGTTTCTCTTTTAGCAGCATATTAAAACACCAAGAGTAAAAAGCGATAACATGGACAGCTTAATGAGACGAAGAAAAATTAGTAAAAATTTAAAAAATATGACAATCAAGGCTGAATTGTACCAGCCCTGAATTGTCATAAAAATGCAAAACTTTTTCTATCGAGAAAGCTAAGACAAATGTCAAAAATGCTTTCTTTGTACCCCAAAAGTCTTGCCCCGGTTCAGATTCTGGGCCGGGAATTGCAAAGATTGAAATTGCTGAGATCTGGACCGGGGCAAGACTTTTGGTGTTCTCTTTCTACGTTAGCTGTATGATTTTAACTTAATTTTAGTTAAAACTTTAATTATTATAATAAAATTTAAAATAACTATGTTAGCATTGATATTAATTATGAAATAACTCTAGCAAATAATATAATAATAATATAAAAAATTTAATAATTAGTAGAAGTATAATAAAAATCTTAATTTAACTATATCAAATGTTATAAAATTATAATGTTGTAATGTATAATAATGTTAAACTGTAGTAATTTTAATTTAAACATTTGAACCTAATCTTAGAAAAATATCGCAATACGCTAATATTTAAAAAATACTGTAAGAGTTCTATCAGAGTGTCTAGTGAAACAAACTTTTTACAAAAAAAAAAAAATAAAAAAAAAAAATAAATAAATAAAAAAAAACATAAATAGAAGCTAAAATTTGAAATATATTTAAATTTTATAAATTTCGAAACATTTTCCAACTTTATGCTTGAAAAATCCAAAAACATTATCCAACAGTCGCGATTTTTCTGCTTAAACAATTTTACTCCGATGAAAAGATGTTTTTTACTTAGAGGAGAAAGCAAAAGCAATCTTGAAATTAGGCCTGCAGGAGAAATCACCGGCATATTAGACATCTCGGGAAAAAAAACAACTCACAAAAACGGTTCTTTTAGGTCAGTAGGAGAATAAGAGTTAAAGCATACCGTCACGACCACAAAACCACTTAAATTCTTCGAGAAATATTTGTTTATTTAAAAATTCATATCATTATAATGAAATACATTCGTGGGAAAAACAGAGAACCAAAACAAAATATAGCAGTGTCTTATTACTTGAAAATACACTGTTATACATTTTAAAAGCGCAGCATTAGTATTTATTAATTTTAGAAACATACGTAAACATTGAATTAAGCTAAACAATGTAAAAAAATAACACAAATAATTACGCATTAGTGATATTATGTTATCTGTGATTTTTTGTGTGTGTGTTGTTTAGCTCACCATTCTTCACAGTCAACTTAGTAGTAAAATCTTTCAACTTTACTAAAATTTTCTTTTATAAAGATATCACACGGATAAAGTTAAATTCGGTACCGATTCCACCGATTTAAAAATTGTTTTATTTTCCCACTGTGACTTAAAATTTTTGCAAGGATGTAAACTTTTGTTTTGTTGATTTTTAAGTGGGTTTATAAAACACAGCTATTTTTAAAAAGCGCAGAAGGATAGATTAAGAGTGTTTTTAAAGAGGTGCGACTAAGAAAAGAGTTAAAATCGAAAATTTTAACGATTTCAAAATTGTTTTTATTAATATTAATGTTATTTACTTATTTATTTAGTAGAACACTGAATTTTAAATAACAAAAAGCAGCTGAAAGCAAAACCTTTTTATTAACTTGTAATTAAATTTAAACATGGCTATTTTTAAATAAAAAACACTCGAGAATTAAGATATTTTGCCACGTTTATGGGATTTACTCCACAATTAAAAATTAAAAATTCTCTTAAACTTTTTTATTATTAAATAAACTAAAACTATTTTATTTTTCCTATAAATTGAAAAAACTGCGTAAATTTTATTTGCTTGTAAATGCTTTAATACCATTTGCTGCTAAACAAATTTTAGAAACAATGTTTGAAAAAAAAATTATGAATGTCTAACGATAATAAAACAAATTTTATAAAAATTTAGAATTATAATTAAACAATTGATTTTTCTTTTTTTACTGAATGATAATCTGAACACGGTGGAGAAATATGTTTAAATTAAGGGATTTTTCAACTCTATTTTTAAAAACTATAAAAAAAAGGAAAAATTTTAAATTGCTGAAATAAATTTTATAAGTATTTGTTGCATGATTCGTTTAGTAATTTTTTGAAAGTGGTTCAAGATATGTTAAAGTATAATTAGTGAAGAACGATTAAATGAGCATGTTCATAATTCAACTGTAGCCTGAAATAAATACAATATTTAAGATATAATCACTAAAATACTGATGACTTTAAGATATAATCACTAAAAACTTCCTTTCGCTAAGATGTATTTAATTTAGGTTACAATTAAACTATTACATTTTTTTAATTAATAAAATAATTCCGACGCAACTTATGCATAACATTGAAGTGTTTTGTATAATTGTAGTAAGGGAACTTTGTAGCGAATAGTTTAAAAAATACTAAGAACATTTTGTATATAACATCAATATACTTTTTAATAATTTCTAATTAATATTTTAAAGAGAGCTTATTATTTTGATGTGTATTAAATTACACAATAAATTATTTGTAATATAATTTATAGTGGGTAGTTTAAACTCCTTTTAAGAATGATTTATTACAAGGTTTGCAGCTTGCAATGAGTATTTTAAAATTGATTTTAAAACAGCATCGGGTTATCCTAATATGCAGACTCAGGTGGTGTTGTAATCAATTAAGCATTTTAGTCTTATAAGTCAATATTACATAAATCAAAATCATGAATCGAACAGACGATAAATGAAAGGCAATGACTTTATTAATGATTGATACCAAACAACTTGCCAATGAATTTTACAAATCAAAAACTAAGATTATTTTTACATTACAGACTTTAGTTTAACTACGTGCAAAAATTTAGAAATAAATTGGTCAAACAATTTTTGTGAAAGAACAATTTCGAATATGACACCTTACAAATTTCAACTTTTTCATTTAATTGCTTAAAATTAATATTTCTTACTCTAATTAAAATTAAAACTAAAATTAAAATTAATGATTAAACTTTAATTTTTATAAAATGCTTTTTCATTTAAAATTTCAGTTGTAAAAATAAGTTCAATTAATTTTTTGTAAAAACTAGATCGCATAACTTTAAGTTATTGCTTGATTTTAAACAATTTAATGAAAAAATGCACCTTGTTAAAGTAGTTTCTTCTTTTAATACCATTTCTCTCATCCATGTAACAAACTTTAAGTATTATTTTTAATTGCATTTAAATTTATTTACAGGTATTTTAAGGCATCCCGTAAATGCATAGTTAATCCATCTGTTTTACAGATACGCTTGTATTTCCATTCACACATGTATTTGTATACGTTTGATATAAATTTATTCAAATATTCCTGACTTCACTTTTTCTTATAAAGAATCCTCATAAACCGTTCATTGCAATAAGTATCACTCATGCTAATTTGTTATAATACATTTTAACAACCAAGATTTCAATAATTCTTAAAAATATTTCTGATAAATTCAGTGATGAAATAAATTTAGTTTTCAAAATATTAAAAGTCATAAAACTCAAAAATTTTTATAATATAAAAATTATATTCAGATAAAAAGATTTAATTAAATTTTTCTTACCTTAAAAGGAATATTTCAGAAAATGTAGTCCAAGCGAAACTAAAACTAAAATATATATTTAATTCCGCCACTTGATCCGAAGGGAATATTAAGATGCCACCGTTTCTAACGGAATACTGATAGAACAGTTATTCAACACAAGTTCTTACCTGTTCAAGTAATAAATAGCAGACGAGAATCAAGTTCGGTTTCTTCTCATCGTTTACTATGTTCTTATTTTTTTCTTTTTTTCGCTTGGCCTCAAATCATGTGCGCGTGCGTAGAAAACGAGATTCAAAAGATGATTCTATATCTTTTTAAAAAAGAAGAAGAGTTAAATGAAATGAAAAGGTATTGAAGTTGATTAAATCTTAAATAATAGTTTGACATACGGCAACAAAAAAAAAAGGAATTGAAAAATGAGATACATTCCAAAAATGTTTCAATAAGATTCGCTTTTTTTAAAGTGATAAATTAATTTCCATGAATTTCAATTTCCATTCCATTTATTTATTTAATTTTCTGTATATTCGATTTATTTTAACTTTATTTAATCTCAATTTAACCTTTAAAAAAAGCAAATGTATGCAATTTTCATACTAATAATATATTTTAATATTTTATTCAAAGTTACAAAAATTGCTCTAATATTATAAACCGTATATAGACATTAATGATGTGGTTTTCTAAGAAAGTACTCGTATTTCAGTACTATAAGAAGCACAGTATAGTCGAAACGATATTTGCATTTACTGTATTTTAATATGTTGTTTTTTGATCTTTTGTAATGCAGCACGAATATAACTGTTGTGCTTTGGATGTTTTTATATTAACTTGTAGAATCATTTTGAACATCATAAAATACAGAATTTACTTCTTTAATTTTAGCTATCTAATCAGTGTCTTAAAAACAGTTAACAGTATAGTGATAGTTTGTTTTTATAAATTTTAACTTTTTAAAAGTTTGGAATATTTAGTAAAGAAATTTAAGAAGAAAAATATTATCTTTAAAAAGCCGACCAGTGGTCGAGTGGTTAGCGCGTCTGAGTGCGGAGCCGTTGGTTGCGGGTTCGAATGCCGCTCAGAGCATGGATGTCTCTTTCTCTCTCTATGTTCTATGTCCTTTCTCCTTTGTGTGTGAATGTGATCCGCCCTATAAACGAGGTTGTGGTTGTGTGACGTGGGCGACGCTGCTCCTCCGCCGTGGCTTCGCCACAGGTGCCCACTGAGTAACGAGAAGAGAGCAAGCAGTTCTGGCATTTTCTGAGGCCAATGGACAATAGTTCCAAATACCCACCATTAAAAAAAATTATCTTTAAATCATTCTTTTTTCCTCTTCAAAGTTGCATTAAACAAATTTGGACTATTCTGAATGTATTACATTATACTGTTGACTTCAGCTTCCGATTTGAAAACTTAAACTTTATAATAATAAAAGTTGTTAAATCTTAGAAACTGAAGATTTCCATCTTGAAAACAATTTAAGAAAATAACTTGCTTATTCTGAGCGCTATATGCTAAATAGGTAAAATAATTTAGGAAATATAGGATCGAAGATATTGAAAGTTTTACATGGAAAAATAAGCTTATAACGTTTGTTCAGAGATATGAATTTTTTTAAGGAAAATCAAACGAAGAAATACGGAACAGACAGCAAGAACTTCAAAATTACCGATAAAAAAATTTATAAAATTTAGTCAACTATTTAATGCGAAAAACAAAAAAATAAAATTGACTTTAACAAGAAATTGTATTGAATTCAAGGAAAAAAAATTTTCAAGAAAAATACAAATAGGAACATATAAAGCGAGAAATGGGACAAGCGTTTATGTACTTATTTACTTGTTCCAAAATTTATTTTAAGATATTGTTGTTAATAGGGGTGGGAGTGCCAGATTACAAAATATGAAATTAAAACGTATTACTTTTCTTTATGCAGTATGATTGAATATAAAATACACTGGGATTCTATTTTGTCGAAATGTACAAGTTTAAAAATATTATAAATAAAAAGAGGTCTCGTAAATGTTGCGACAAAATTTTAGGGGAGTCAGGACACAAAAACAGAATTAAAATCGCCTAGGAACCCATGCCCGGAATTGTCGTCGTACGCAGTTTGGCATGTTCAGTTCCCCTATTATGGCATGTTCAGAAGCACTCGAAGAAACAGTTCATAATAGAGAAACTCCCTTTGTGACACATGAAGACATTTTCAGGTATGGGTTTATATACAATTTTAAATCTGACTGTGCCCTAACTCCCCTAGAAGTTAGTCGCAACTTTTATGCAACCCCCTGCTATATTTAACTCGTACATTTTGACAAAAAATAGACTAAAAATGTCACTTAAAACTGTATCTTGGATAGGGAAACCGATTGCAAATAAGGAAGTTTATAATTTTACTAATAAATATTCACTAAAGCAACTATACAAAGTAATTTACATACGAGGAGGTTTGTCTCAGTTCACGTACTACACGAACCTATCTCTAATTCACCGCAGTTTTTCTGTAAATGTAAATTGTTTTACGTAAAGTGTTGAATTTTTTGTGCTGATGTTTGTTTAATTAACATGTGTAAAGCACTCATCTTTTAAGAAATTTTACTTTCTCTCTGCTTCAAAACATAGTGTGATACTTTTTGAAATTCATTAGCATGAAAAAGCCAAATAAAGGTCCAGTCCATGGAATAAATACCTCCTTCAATCAAACCAGTTGTATTAAATTGGGTAACTAGTAAGGCATGGCGCCTGTTTGTGTCCAATTTAGTAGGAAACCAAAAGCTCTTTACCTAAAATAAATAGGTAATCTCTTGAAACTACAGACAATCAGGGCAATTTATTTTTAAACCAGTCAGTGCCTTCTTCCACCCTCCACCCAAAACAAAGAAAAGTCTAAGTTCAAAGAACACAAAATGTTCAATTTGAAACAGTTGGAAATTCATATCGTTTTGAGTAAAAGAAAACAAGCTGTTACTTTTTAATAATAAAATCAACCCATGAACCAGATTTCTTTTTTTATTTAGGAAAAAAAAGGAAAGGCGTGAAGAAAAGGAAGTTGTATTTTGAAATATGCTATATTACATTTTTACCGGTAAACTCTTTTTCTTGTAAAAAAACCATAAGATGCTTTTTAGTATAAAGAAATATCATGCTATTATTTTATAAAATTGCGATATTAATTTCTTAAAAACAATAAATAAGAAATATTTGCTACAATTGTTTGTAATGAACTGCATTATTAGAGAGATTTTACTTCCTATACTACTGCTGGAAATTTCTCGGAAAAATGATTTAATAACAATTAATTTAATTGTTTTTTTTTACAAAATTTAAGCAAAACAGTCAAATAACAGTAAATAAGATGGTATTCAAACTGTTAACTGGGGAAAAAAACCGTTTAATGACTGTTTTCACCTAAAACTGAGAAAAAATGTATGATCACTACTAGAATATGTTAAAATTTACTGTGTTTCTGATTACATGGGAACTCCAAAAATCATGGTAATTTTTACAGAAGCGCTTCGGTAAAAATTTTGGTAAAATTGGCATAGAAATATTGTTTTACAAATTGTATTAATTTAATAAAAATAGAAACATTTGAAAATTCGGGAATTTTATGATATTAAGGCATGGCATAAAAACTTTTGTTCGGTGAAATTTACTTTTCAGTTTTGTATTTTTACTAAATGTTTATTAATAAGAACTATTTTGAAAATCAAAATTTCCGGTAAACCATTACCATATAAATGGTTTATATACAGTATATTTTGGTTTTATTACTAGAATTGTGGAGTTTTCTTTTTCTTAAAATATTTTACTAAACAGAACGGTAATTTAACCTGAATTGTTTCCTCTTTGCATGAAAATTTCTGAATAAAAAGGACTTAAAAGAAAATTTAAATCATGTCAAATAAATCTGCGTAAATTTGAATAACAAAATTTGAAATGAGTCAGCAAAATTGATTACGAAACGAGTTTGATTACAACAAAATTGATTACTGAAATATGAATAAAAAAAATTTTTTTAAAGATACTCTTTATTAAAAACTGCTACTTTTTTTTTCAATTATTATTTCTCTTAAACTTTGAGTCGCTTAAACTTGCCTAGATTAACATTGCATTAAACACTATTACTGTAATAATAAATAACCATTATAAATCATTTTTGTTGGAAATTATCTTCAGAAAAACAAGTTTCATAAAAACGTGTTAAAAAGTTCTTGATTCATAAAATCAGTTTTAGAAATATCAGATAAAAACCAAATGTATAAACAGTATTAAAAGGACTCAAAATTTTGTTCCTCGCTTGCCTAAGCTAGAATTCCTGATATCTTACTTCTAGTTAGAGAGTTAAGACATTGACTTCAACATTGTCCGAAACAGCTAGCTGGGTTGCGAAAGAGAAAGATAATGAAATGGTAATGGTTACCACCCTTGGTGACGCTTCTCAATAATCTCTTTTTCTTCCCCCATGTTGGGAGCTTATAGCTTTCACAGTGATTTTTATTTGTATTTTTATTTCTTTTTAGTATCTTTATCATGTGATGTTTAAGTCAAAAATATCTTAAAAAGGAAACTAAAATGAATTCGCGATCGCAACGCTCGAGTACGCCGTCTAGCGGGAGCCTGTAAATATCAGACATTAATTTATCANAAATTTAAACTGCAGCTCTATGCTGAATTACAATACTATTTGCCACCGTTTTGTAACCGTCAATGTAAGATTAAATCATTTTTTGTCCGCTACCAGCAAAACTTATTACGATATTACTGTCAAAGAGAATTTTTCTATGATCAAAATTTTCCGACCACTTTAAAACTGGCTAGAGCACTCAAATTTAAACTGCAGCTCTATGCTGAATTACAATACTATTTGCCACCGTTTTGTAACCGTCAATGTAAGATTAAATCATTTTTTGTCCGCTACCAGCAAAACTTATTACGATATTACTGTCAAAGAGAATTTTTCTATGATCAAAATTTTCCGACCACTTTAAAACTGGCTAGAGCACTCAAATTTAAACTGCAGCTCTATGCTGAATTACAATACTATTTGCCACCGTTTTGTAACCGTCAATGTAAGATTAAATCATTTTTTGTCCGCTACCAGCAAAACTTATTACGATATTACTGTCAAAGAGAATTTTTCTATGATCAAAATTTTCCGACCACTTTAAAACTGGCTAGAGCACTCAAATTTAAACTGCAGCTCTATGCTGA